AGCCAAGCCCACGTGGGGCCCAGGCTGACCCAGCAGGAAGGTGGGCCTCGCCTCTTTTTCTTACCCTGGAGGCTGGGAGGGGCCCCCCACCAGTCAGTGGCAGAGCAGGGCACTGCCTGCAGCAGCTGCTGCTCCCACCCCAGGAAGTGGCAGGGCCCCCGCCCCTCTCACTGACAGGACTGGCCCCACAGCAGCTGCCAAACAGCACTGACCAGAGCTCAGAGACCAACTTTCCTAACCGCTCCCGGAATGGGTGTCTTTGCTCAGCCTCAGCCTCGCCCCAGCCTAGAAAAGACTGGGCTGGCCACGAGCTATGGAGTGACCACTGTCGTCACCCCCCAGAGCATTTGCCTGGTGGGCCTTGGAGCTTAGAGCTGTGCATTTGTGTTTAATCCTTAGGACAACCTGCATGGTCATTCTGCAGCGTCAGCCCGTTGTGTCACAACTGAGGGTCTGAGGGTCGGTTTCGTGGCTGTCCTGGTCCTGCCTGTCTCCCTCCTTCCCTGCTTCCAGCCTCACCTCTTCCTTTGGCCCTGCCATCCCTCCCAGCTCCCCAGTCCCCGGGCCTCTCCACTTGCTGTTTTCCCTGCCTGAAAGCTCCTTCCCCCAGTCTTTACCTCCTGCCTGTGATAGCTACTACTCACCTGGCTCTCTGCCCTGCCTTGTCTGCCCATTGGGCTTCTTACCTCCAGGAAGTCTGCGGGCTTTGTCACCGGCCTGCTTCCAGCTTGAGAATAACACACCCCATGAGGATGAGCACCTTTTCAGGTTCATCTGCATCTAGGACCGTGCCCGGCAAGGCACAGATGTGCAGTGAATATTTGTTGAAGGAAACCGCCCTTCCTCCTTAGGTGACAGCCCTCTTGAGGCTGGACCCCTGCCGTGCTCTCCTGTCTTCCAACACTGTACACAGCCTTGAGTGGCTGTGGTGTTTGTTTGTTTACTATCTGCTGAATGTGGGCAAAGACCTAGACCGAGGGCAAAGACCTAGTTTGCCTTTGGTCCCCCTGTATTCTCTGCTCCCAACTGGTGTCCAGCTCCTCGTGGTACCTGGTGAGTGCCCTGATGAGAAGGGCAGGCTGGCACCAAGCTGTGCTCCCTGCTGGTTTGAAGTTGTGGGTCCCACGGGAGTCCCTAGGTATAACTCACCACCAGACCAGGCCCAGGCACCCTGGGTGACGGCTCTTGTCCTAACGTGGTGGCTTCTCGGGTTGAGGCCTGCTCACTTCAAGTTGATTATCCTTGTGGCTAGGCATGGTGGCTCATGCTTTGGGAGGCCAAGGCAGGAGGACTGCTTAAGTCCAGGAGTTCAAGACCAGCCTGGGTAACATAGGAAGACCTTGTCCCTACAAAAATTTATCCAGACGGGGAAGTGCATGCCTGTCGTCCCAGCTGCTTGGGAGACTCAGGTGGGAGGATTGCCTGAACTCAGCGGTTCAAGGCTGCAGTGACTTGTGATCACACCACTGCACTCCAGCTGGGTGAGTGAGACCCTTAATAAAAAAATAATAATAATTGTTGGGCATTTCTAGGTCTCTGAAAGTGTTACTTCTTCCTGATTCTGTTTTGTGTGTATGTGTTTGTCAGAGTCTCACTTTGTTGCGTAGGCTGGAGTGCCGTGGCATGTTGCTCACGGCCACTGCAACCTCGACCTGCTGGTTTCAGGCGATCCTTCCACCTCAGCCTTCCAAGTAGCTGGTACAACAGGTGCGAGCCACCAAACTCAGCTAATTTTTTATTTTTTGATTTATTGTAGAGATGAGGTCTCTCCATGTGGCCCAGGCTGGTGTCGAACCGTGGGCTCTGGGAGTCCTCACTCAGCCTCCCAAAGTGCCAGGATTACAGATGTGAGCCACAGCGCCCAGTCTGGTTTTTAATCAAAACCAAACACTGCCCTGGAGACACTTGTCTCTGAGGTGTTGGACTCTTCTCTCAGCAGTGGGTGTGTGAAGGAAGCCTGGCAGTGCTGTGGCATGTTAAAGACATTTTACTCACTTGTTTTTTGTTAGTCTAGAAAGCAATACATGTTTATCATAGCAAAGCAAACAAAAGGGGTGGGGGGAAAGAAATCACAAAATGGAAGCTTTATTTAAGTGATTTCGTATATTTCCTTTAAGTCAGTTCAATGGATATTTTTGCCCTTTTATGCAGAGGACATAATTCTGACCATACAATATATATTTGACTATGCTTCTCTGCTTCTCCTCTGTTCCCCACTTAACCTTACACTGTCCTGTAAAAAATATATTTATTTATTTTGAATCGGAATCTCACTCTGTTGCCAGGCTGAAGTGCAGTGGCATGCTCACGGCCACTGCAGCCTCGACCTGCTGGGCTCAGGTGGTCCTTCCGCTTCAGCCTTTTAAGTAGCTGTAATAGCAGGGTGCCCCACTGTGCCTGGCTAATTTTTTAATTTTTTTTAGAGAGATGAGGTTTTGCTATGTTGCCAAGGCTGGTCTTGATCTCCTGGGCTCAAGCAATCCTCTCGCCTCAGCCTCCCAAAGTGTTGAGATTGCAGATGTGAGCCACTCTGCCTGGCCTCAGTTTAATAACTTCAAGGACCAGGGCCCTTTAGGCTGCGCAGGATACAGATCCGCCAGCGACTGCGAAGCCAAGCAGGGTCGCTGCCGTTCAGCACTTGGATGGGAGACCATGCGCCTGAGTAGCTCCGCCCTGTTCCAGGTTCTCCCTTGCTTTTAGCCAGGCTCCGTGGCTCAGCCTGTAATCCCACGTCTTGGGAGGCTGAGGTGAGTGGATTGCCTGAGCCCGCGG